CTGGGAGCCCTAACAGCCATAGCTATTATGGGAGTCCAACATTTGGGTCTAACATGTCATATCCTGGTAGCCCATTGGCTCATCATGCTATGCAAAATTCTCTTATGTCACCTTGTAGCCCTATGAGACGAGGTGAAGTTAATATGCGCTATCCCTCTGCAACAAGAAACTACTCTGGAGGGGTTATGGGTTCTTGGCACATGGATGCTAGTTTGGATGAAGGCTTTGGATCTTCATTGCTTGAAGAGTTTAAAAGTAACAAAACAAGAGGGTTTGAACTTTCTGAAATAGCTGGACATGTTGTGGAGTTCAGGTATTTCCTGGACTGTATTTTCCCTTTTTTTTGCGTCTATATTTGTCCTAATCTAACACTTATTTGGGGGATTTTTGTCAATTTGGCGATCAGTGCGGATCAATATGGGAGCCGGTTTATTCAGCAGAAACTCGAGACAGCAACAACTGATGAGAAAAACATGGTTTATGAGGAGATCATGCCACATGCTCTCGCCCTGATGACAGATGTTTTTGGAAACTATGTGATTCAGAAGGTAGATATATTTGGTCTTCCGCTTTGTTTATTTTGAGTTAAAGACATTGTAAGTTATAACATAGTGAGATTCCTGACTGCTTACAGTTCTTTGAGCATGGACTCCCGCCTCAGAGGAGAGAATTGGGAGATAAACTCTTTGAAAATGTTTTGCCTCTTAGCTTACAGATGTATGGTTGTCGTGTTATCCAGAAGGTAAAGTCTAGTTCTTACCTCTTTTGCTGTTCTCTACAAGTGTATATTTGATTCTGAAGAACAGTTGAGAGTTTCGTTATTTTCTCTCTGTTTACCTTTATAGGCAATTGAAGTGGTTGATCTAGACCAGAAAATCAAAATGGTGAAAGAACTTGATGGACATGTGATGCGATGTGTACGCGACCAGAATGGGAACCATGTGGTTCAAAAGTGCATCGAATGTGTGCCTGAAGAAAACATCGAATTCATTATTTCGACTTTCTTTGGCCATGTTGTGAGCCTCTCTACTCACCCATACGGGTGCCGAGTTATCCAGGTTCTTGCTTTAGTAATTAAAAAGATAACACATTTCTTAATCTTATGCTTCTATGTATAATCTTTTTCATCTTCTGTTGCAGAGGGTATTGGAGCACTGCCATGACCCGGATACACAGAGTAAGGTTATGGAAGAGATCCTGTCCACTGTTAGTATGCTGGCCCAAGATCAGTATGGAAACTATGTTGTTCAGGTTTGTAAAAGATATGAGTTTTACTGCAATTTGTTTTATTGGTTGCACAAAACTGATACATGTTTTGTTACAGCATGTACTGGAGCACGGAAAGCCTGATGAGCGCACTGTGATAATCAAAGAATTAGCAGGGAAGATCGTTCAGATGAGCCAGCAGAAGTTTGCATCAAACGTTGTTGAGAAATGTTTGACTTTTGGAGGTCCTGAGGAACGGGAATTGCTAGTGAATGAGATGCTGGGCACAACTGATGAAAACGAGCCTCTTCAGGTTTGTCCAACACCATACTTTCAGATGATTGTGAGTGAGGGTGGGAGGGGGAATAAAGAAACTAATAAGCTCATAAGATTCGTTTTCTTGTGTATACAGGCGATGATGAAGGATCAGTTTGCAAACTATGTAGTGCAGAAAGTTTTGGAGACATGCGATGACCAACAGCGTGAGCTGATACTTACTCGTATTAAAGTGCATCTTAATGCTCTGAAGAAGTACACTTATGGAAAGCATGTCGTTGCACGTATTGAAAAGCTCGTTGCTGCTGGAGGTATGCATATGTTCCTCTTATTCCCTCTAGGTCTTAAGTTTCTGCCTATTCTGCTACAATCCTCCAAGTTGTCTTTACTGCATGCATTTCTCTTGTCTTGGTGGTTGAAGAGAATTCTAAAAGCATTTGAGAAAGATAAGACAAAATAAGCATTTCTATGGCTATTCGTCTCTTAAGTGTTTTTTTCTTTTCTTATATGCAGAGAGGAGAATGGCTTTGCAGTCCCTAACCCAGCCTCAGATGTCGTAAGGCCGCAAGTGTTGTACAGCTTAACTAGGGTGGATGGCTCTGCCATTGCGTTTTGAGAATTAGGTAAGATCTAAACCGGAAATAATCTTGTGGGAAACTTGTGAAGGAGAGAGCTTTGTTTTCTCTGCAAAAATCTGTAAAATTGTGTAGTTGCTTAAGGTTTTTCTATACATAGAACCAAACACATCCCTCTTTAGGCTGATGAGTGAGAGAAAAAGGCAGAGAATGGTGTAAAGATGGGTTGAGGATTTTAGGATTTCCTTCACACAAAAGAGAATGGCTGTTTCATTGCCAAATGTGTAGAAGTGAGAATATGTTCATGCTTTTAGGACAATCCCAGTTTTTAGAGTTTCTTTTTTCTCCATCTATGTAATTTGCTTCATCAAACTCTTGTTTCTTATTTCACGAGGAATTCTTTTGTTTCTGGAATTTGCGATCTTGTTGTTAATATCGATCATGTTGTTTGGCATATATGAAACATATCATTGATGTCACAGTCACATAAGTAACCTTACAAACAAAATCTATCTTGGTCTCTCTACAGACAATGGAGCAAAATCATTAAATAATGTCGATGTCAACATCTTCAATCTTTAGTTGTTCTGACCAAACCTCTTTGTCCAGCTTTGGCTCTTATTCCCACCTCTCTTGTTCTTATTTTGAGGTTTCTCGTTCTCAACTTCTCTCTATCCCATTTCTTTTATACCAACCAGTTTGAATTTATTCACAGGATCTCATTACCGTTTTAAAAAAACTCGCAAACTGATTTGGATAAGATTGGTTTTGTGGATGAAACTTTCACCAATGGTGAGAAAGTAGTCACTTGTATAATCAAAGCAACACCATCTTCACCAACTGTAGACACACAAAATGCAACAAAGAAACTCACTTCTATAATCAAAGCAACACCAACAGTAGACACAATTGCTACAGAAGAATCAGAAGAAACGATCTCTTGTGAAATATCCTTTGGAGTTGCAGAGAATCTCTAAAGTTGAGTTTTTTCCTGGTGAAGACAAGATTTTTTGGCTTGGAAAAGACCAAGAGAGTGGATTTACTGGTTGGTTTTTAGCAGGAATGTTCGTCCACTCCGAGACTCTCAATCTCTGCAAATTTAGTTCAAGAAAAGATGAAGCAGAGCAAATTTTTAAACCCATACAGACTTGACAGCTCTCTGCTAAGCCAATAGAACATGCTCAAGTGGCGAGAAGACTCTTGTGGGGAGAGAGGGTCTCAAGTAGAAAAAGAAGACCAGATGAATGAAACTAGCCCATCAAAGTATCTTTTCTTACACTGCCTGAAGTGTTGTCGTTTAACAAGAATGTGTGTGTGTATTTAAAGGGACTCCGATATGTTAGGGCTTCCTTATGTTATGTAAAACAATACAGCAATTATTAATCTCAATGCTCCTTCCATTTCTATCTCTCTCACTCTCTTTCTCTCTCGATCTTCTTCAATTCTTCTATCGATAGGCTCAGTATCTGTTTTTCTTTTCTCTTACATCACTATAAAACCCATTTTTCTATCTTTCAATCCGAAGTCTTTGTTAGGTTTTTTTTTTTCTAACTTAACAGTAACAAGAGATATCAAAACATCGATACAATCTGAGGAATGGATTTGAGTATCGCTTAATAAAGTTTTGATCTTTGGGTTTAGTTAGAAACAGAGAATATTTGGGGATTGTACATATTGAGAGGTATAAAGGTTTGATCTTTCTGATGTTTCTTAAAGAGTTTAGCTTATACGAGTATAATCGTTAATTTGGTTTTGGGGTTTTTGTTGCTTAGGTGATAATGATACCGGAACTGGGGAGAAGACCGATGCATAGAGGTAACGAAGATCCATCATTTGGGGATGATTATGAGAAAGAAATTGGAGTATTGCTCGGTGAGCAGCAGCGACGCCAAGAAGAAGCTGATGAGCTTGAGAGAGAGCTTAACTTGTATAGAAGTGGCTCTGCGCCACCGACTGTGGATGGTTCTGTTAACGCTGCTGGAGGACTTTTTAACGGCGGAGGTAGGGGTCCTTTTTTGGAGTTTGGTGGAGGTAATAAGGGTAATGGGTTTGGTTCTGATGATGAGGAGTTAAGGAAAGATCCGGCTTACTTGTCTTATTACTATGCTAATATGAAGTTGAATCCGAGGTTGCCACCGCCTTTAATGTCAAGGGAGGATTTGAGGGTTGCTCAGAGGGTTAAAGGGAGTAGCAACGTGTTAGGTGGTGTTGGGGATCGGAGAAATGTGAATGAGAGTAGATCTTTGTTCTCTATGCCACCTGGTTTTGATCAGATGAAGCAGCATGAGTTTGAGGCTGAGAAAACTAGTGCTTCTTCTTCTGAGTGGGATGCTAATGGATTGATCGGTTTGCCAAGTTTGGGGATTGGAGGCAAGCAGAAGAGTTTTGCTGATATGTTTCAGGTTGCTGTTACCTTTTCTTATCACAACATCGCTTCTTGGTAGCTTTTATTGGTTGTCTATTGTTCATTATGCTTTGATACTTTGTCAATGTTTTCTCTCTTAGATAATTCTCTCTGTATGTGTATATTTCTCTATTCAGCTAAGCAGCATATATTTCTGCTTATGTAACTGTGGTGGATTGCTTTCGTGCAGGGTGATCCTGTCGTACAGCAGCCCTCACGTCCTGCAAGTCGTAATGCCTTTGATGAAAATGTTGACTCTAAAAATAATCTGTCTCCATCTGCATCACAAGGCATTGGCACACCATCTCCATACAGCTATGCAGCTGTTCTGGGCTCTTCTTTGTCTAGAAATGGAACTCCAGATCCACAAACCATTGCTAGGGTGCCTAGTCCCTGTCTTACTCCCATTGGGAGTGGGAGAGTGAGTTCAAATGATAAGAGGAACACAAGTAACCAAAGCCCGTTCAACGGTGTTACATCTGGTCTCAACGAGTCTTCTGATCTCGTCAATGCTTTATCTGGGTTGAACCTCTCAGGTAGTGGCGGGTTAGATGAACGGGGTCAGGCTGAGCAAGATGTCGAAAAGGTCAGGAACTATATGTTTGGACTTCAAGGTGGGCATAATGAAGTCAATCAACACGTTTTCCCAAACAACTCTGATCAATCCCATAAAGGAACAGGTTCTTGGAAGAATCCACAGTTGAGAGGGTCACAGGGATCTGCCTATAGTGAGGGAGGTGGACTGGGTACTCATTACCAGCATCTTGATAGCCCAAACTACTGTCTGAACAACTATGCACTAAATCCAGCTGTAGCTTCTATGATGGCTAGCCAACTCGGGAATACTAATTTTTCTCCAATGTATGAAAATGTTTCTGCAGCATCTTCTTTGGGATTATCTGGAATGGATTCCAGACTTCATGGGGGAGGTCAAAATCTCTCTGAACCACGTAATCTTGGCAGGTTCAGTAATCGAATGATGGGAGGAGGCGCTGGTTTACAGTCTCATATGGTAGACCCTATGTATAATCAGTATGGGAGGTTCTCTGAGAATGTTGATTGCCTTGATCTTCTTAATGATCCTGCAATGGACAGGAACTTTATGAATAATTCATACATGAATATGCTTGAACTCCAGAGGGCCTATCTCGGAGCTCAGAAATCACAGTATGGTGTTCCTTACAAATCTGGGAGCCCTAACAGCCATAGCGATTATGGGAGTCCAACATTTGGGTCTAATATGTCATATCCTGGTAGCCCATTGGCTCATCATCTTCTGCCAAATTCTCTTGTGTCACCTTGTAGCCCTATGAGACGAGGTGAAGTTAATATGCGATATCCATCTGCAACAAGAAACTACCCGGGAGGCGTAATGGGTGCTTGGCACATGGATGCTAGTTTGGATGAAGGCTTTGGATCGTCAATGCTGGAAGAGTTCAAAAGTAACAAAACAAGAGGATTCGAACTTTCTGAAATAGCTGGCCATGTTGTAGAGTTCAGGTATTTCCTTGAAAGTCTTTTACCTTCTTTTTTTTGTGTACAATTTGTCCTGACCTAACGCCTACTGATATGATTGGTTTTCATGACCAGTTCGGATCAATATGGGAGCCGGTTTATTCAACAGAAACTCGAGACAGCAACAACTGATGAGAAAAACATGGTTTATGAGGAGATCATGCCACAAGCTCTCGCCCTGATGACAGATGTTTTTGGAAACTATGTGATTCAGAAGGTAGATTTATTTAGTCTTCATCTTTTGTTTAATTTGGAGTTAAGATATTGTAACATAAGTTAGTACTGACTTTTGATTATCTTCCTACAGTTCTTTGAGCATGGACTACCGCCACAGAGGAGAGAATTGGCGGATAAACTCTTTGACAATGTTTTGCCTCTTAGCTTACAGATGTATGGTTGTCGTGTTATCCAGAAGGTAAAGTCTAGTTCTCACCGGTTTTACTGATCTCTATAAGTCT